AGGAAGGCCTGGCGCAATATGGTTCATGGGGTCACGAAGAGTCGGACACGACTTAACGACTAAACAACAACAACAACGCCGTTCATCCAAATATTTAAATCTGTATTGTTGACTTGGTTCAAACCTTACCTCAACCGTGCACTTACTAGGTGAACTTACTAGAGGGCTTTATGGAAGCAGTCTAGCTGGGCATAGCCAACGGGCATGCAATCTAATTATAAGGGCCATATGAATCCACTGATTATTACTGGGAGTGGATCTGATGTGAGACTATGGTGGTCAATGGTATAAAAAAATAATAAGAAAAATAAAATCCTCAAGATACTCAACTGTTATAATATCTTTGCAGGTATTTTCCAAATTATATTGTTCATAATGCTCTATGAAACTGCAGAACAGCACCTATATAACCTATAATTAAAACATCAATCTTATTCACTGCTATGAAAATAAGTTTTGAAAATAATTCAACTCAATTTCTAACTCACTTGCCTCCTTTTAGAACAAACCAGGAAAGCTAACTGGGAATTTATAACTGGAGAATATTATGTGACATTTTTAGTAATATTTATACCAAGTAGCAACCTGATCCTCTGTATGTATTCTGAGCCCTATTTGCTGGGCGTGTGCATCCTCACATCTGCAACTTTAATTCTAGCATCCTTTAAATAGCATTCTATTCCTTCTATTCTTGGTATCTTTGTGAAAATAAACTTATATGAGTTTAATCTTTTAATTGTCTCTTATACAGATTATATTATAACCTTTATAATTTCTCTTATACTGGGCCAAATAATACATTTCAGCCCTTCACTTCAAATTAGTATTTTCAGAAAAACCATAACTTACATGTTGTTTCAGGCAAGGATGAAGGCAAAGATTTGTGTAAACCTTGGGAAGGCATAGAAAATATCCGGCTGGTGTTGAGAACTGTTGTGCCTAATTCAAGTGATTTAAAATGCTGCTGAGGATTCAAATCTGGGACACTGTCCTTGAAAACAAAACAAACATATCTATTATGCTAAGTACAAACGTAGTTAGAAAAACCTTGAAGTACTGTACAATTGAAGGAAGTATTTTTTATATTAACCACACACTCTTTAGAACACAATCTGAATCTCTTCCAGAAGTGCATCTAGAGCTCCATATGTCCAGTGAACACAAACTGCAATGCTTGAAAACACAAAGGGATTCTGTCTGCTCTTTGCATCTCAAGCGTTGCAATATACTTCTTCAAAATTAGTACATGTAGGCACAGCAGAGATGTATCAGGGTGCAGCTAGATGGCTGCAGGTTACAATAGTTAAGCCCCAGGTAGTTGGCAAACCCAAGAAGAAAGAACCACGTGGATTTCAGAAAAGTATCTTTAACACTAATCAGGGATAAAAATATAATCTTAAAAACTAAATTCCTAGGCAGACCTACAGCAAGCCAATTAAGGCAGGGCCTCTGCTTTAAACCACACCTGGATTAGGATGAGGGTTAGAATTAGGGTCTTGTCATAGCAGCACTGAACTTCTCCACTTGCTTCCCACAGTCTTTCACAACAGTACCCCCACTTATGCATTAACTAAATTATGTGGCACTCCAGTTGCAGTCAAGAAATAACTTCATTCATGTCTCTGCTTTTTCTGTAAATAATATAATGCAAACAAAAACAAAAAAAAACCCTACATAAAATCTGAGAGTTAAAATCAAAAACATACATACATACATAACACCAGTGCAAAGTGGCTACAGGACCTGAGAGCAGACCACAGCAATCTTCCAGAACAGAAACCAGTTACCATCACAGTAGCAGACATCCAACAGCAGGTCAAGAACATGAAAAGCTGGACAGCACCTGGCCTGGACATGATCCACGCCTTCTGGCTAAAGAAACTAACAGCAGTGGATGAGCGCCTAGCAGCACAGATGAACCAGCTGCTAGCAAAAGGCTCCCACCCAGACTGGCTAACACAAGGAAGGACAATGCTGATCATGAAAGACCCTTACAAGGGAACAGCACCATCCAACTATCAGCCAATAACCTGCTTCCCCATAACATGGAAAGTCCTACTAGGCATCATAGCCACCAAGCTACAGGACCATATGGGCCAGTACATGAGCACAGCTCAAAAGGGCACTGGGAACAACACCAGAGGCTCAGAACACCAGTTGCTCCTAGATAGAGCAGTTGCCTGAGACTCAAAGTCTAGAGACACCAAACTGAGCACAGCCTGGATTGACTACAGGAAAGCCTACGATTCAATGCCACACTCATGGATCTGTGAATGCCTTGTGTTTACAAAGGCAACAGGACACTAAGGACCTTCCTCAAGAACTCAGTGGGACTGTGGAAGACAACACTGGAATTCAACTCAAGACAGCTCGCACAAGTGGCCATCAAGTTCAGCATATATGAGGTGATGTACTGTCCCTGCTGCTGTTCTGCATAGGCTTGAATCCCCTCAGCCAGATAATCACAAGGATACGGATACAAGTTCAAGAATGGAACTACCATCAGTCACCTCCTCTACATGGATGACATCAAGCTGTATGCTAAGAGTGAACAAG